TCAGTTCGTCACTCTTGCTTTAGTATACCATCAAGTTAAAATCGCAATACTATTCTACAACCAAAATTACAAAAGAATCTTAACCCTTTAGTTTCCAATTTTTTTGTTTGAAAAAATTACTGGCTATAGTTTTAAAGTAAATAAGTAATATTAGTTCAAGAAAAAGTTTGTAAATAAATATCAACAAATTCATAAATTAAATCACCATAAATTAAAATTTTATGAATACGCAAAATATAAGATCGCTTACGACGGAATTGTAGTGATCGTTGACACTATCACTAGCAGTTTAATTGTGGGCTACTTTAGGACATTCTTGGGTAATAGAGAATTAATGTGTCCAATTATATTGCGATATTGTAAAAAAGTTTCAAGAAATAGAACAAAACTCGACAAATTAATGTTACAACGTTTGGCATTATTATTTACGATCAAAATTACAATATAATCAATAAGAAACAAAATCAAGATGTAATAAAAATTTGTCAAGAGCAATATTCAGATTCCTTCTGCCATACGAATAGACTACACATACATTTGTATATTCAATTATTCTGAATAATATTTGCAAAGAAATATTTAAAATTAGGTGCGCATATATGTATATCGTTTATTTAATTTATTTAATATAATGTAAAAGATATACATTCGGCCTTTGATATATATATTTCGAATCTATATATTTATATTTTTAATATCATTTATAATTATTTTACTTAATACGTAATATATTTTTAAGTATCATTTCAACCATTATTTGATTTCATTATTATTTCTTATTACGAACACAATGTGGATATTTCTTATAACTTATAGCATATATCTAATATTTAAATGCAGCCTATATAGATACAATTATTTAAAGTAGGGGAATATAGAAATATTTGTTGATCAAATATAAATAACGTATAAATACGTTCTTTATTTTTAAGTAAACAGCTGCACATTTAAGTACAATATATTCGTTGTGAACTTTTATATGCATGCCATATATTTTACAAAAAGTAATCATTTATAAAATTTTGTTGATATTCATTCTGCATTTATAAAAATGTAATATATATTTTAACAATACAAAATTTAATTTTATGCACTTAATAGCTAAATTAAAATAACGACAAAATTTTTTTCATTATGAACCGAATATTTTATAATAGAACGAAAATTATTTCTATATATATAGGGATTGAGTAACGATTCGCATTAGAACTTTTATTAACAAACTTCTTGCACAATACTTGTTTTAATTTTAGAAGCATAAAATATTAATGTAATAAATTTTCTTCACAATTAAAAACACTATATCCTTTACTTTTTTAAAAGTTTATCAATATAAATTAAATCAAAGCCATACGAAAATTGTTCAATTTATTTTAATTGATTTAAAAGTTATAATTAACAAAAAATATTGTGCATTTTTCCATAATAATTTTTCTGTCTAAATAAAAAACCAAAGATGATGTTTTCTGTAACAAAATGGATTAAATTATAGACTTGCGCCAGATATTGGAATATATAATTGTATATATATTATAAATATATACATATAATTTTATATGTATACAAAAATTTAAATGCCCAATTTCACCTTTATAAACAAACAAACAATAAAAAACACTTTTATTATATTAATTACTTGAAAAATTTATATAACTATTTATTTATAATATTATAAATAGTTTCAAAATTTCGTAATTTATTTAGGTAACTTAAACCAAAAATATTGTGTACATAACAACTAAAATAAATTATAGAAACACATGCGCACCAATTTGCCTAAATAACAAATTAATTTTGTATCTATATTTTACATTTTTAATTATTTTATACATTTAAATATATAAATAAACACCTTTTTTCTCACTCTCAATATTTTGTTGGTTACTTTAATAATATTTATGAAATTAAAATTGCTATGTATATGAATATATATTGGAGACGCTTAACCAGCAAACATACATTTAGTAAGATATATAAATAAATTCTTTAAAAAATCGAAAATTTCATACTAATCAACAATAGTTCAAGTAAAAACTAAAATTTTTATCTATTTCAATATCATGATTTATAATTTCTTATACCATATATTAATTTCATTAAGGTTCAAATTATTGTACTTTTTCCAATAAAAAATAAAAAAAAAATCTAGTCGAAAAATCTTAACATTTCACATTTCAGTTCGTATATTTGTCAAGACAAATAAATATATATAACTTTCAAGTAATTTTCAATACTCATTTTCTTCTTACTTCCAACTTGAGCCCATGATTTCAATTAATCATCAGAGAAATGGAATAAATATGCTTTTAATTTGAATATATAAGCAGAAGTATATACTAATGCAAATTTTAACTATAGAGACGGCGACAAATTATAGCTAAATATCTAAAAAACCTAAAAAATGTGTACTTGCTATTTAGACATTTGTCGGAATAAACATTTCTTTTATAAATCTAGTTGTTATTAATACAAAAACTACAAACACAAAAATCCAAAACTCAATTAATTATATTCATATATTATATGGAATTTGTGATCCGAAAACAAATTGTCTTTTTTACTGCTTTCTGGTGTGACGGGTTATCATTTTAATTGAGTTCGGTTAGCAAAACCGTACGATTTCAGTACATACTTTCTTTTAAAGAAACTACGACTATTACACATTTTTAGCAATATCATCAAAATTCACCCAAAATGCAAAATTCTTTATATATGCTGGCTTAACCACATCTCCAACACAATGGTTGTTAAAAATTATTTACAATATTCTAAAACATATTAAAAAGTATATTTTTTAAATGCCTTCATATATCATTTGTATATAAATATCATTCTGTAATTAATATGCAAGTCTTTTAAGTTATTTTTTACATAATTGTAAAGTTTCGACATATATATATCTATATATACACATATATATGTTTATATTTATATATATATTATTATATATATATATATATATATACGTATATATATATGTGTATATGTATATATAAGTGCGTTTGTGGGTATTTTATATTATTAAATTTACACAATGTTTTTAATGTGCGTATAAGTATATATTTAATATTATAATTTATTTAATACACTTAATATTCAATAATATTGATATAACAGTACAATATAATTAAATAGAAAAATAAACAAATAAAAATTTATACATATACTGCTTATTTATCAGTCATAACGTTTGTATATTTATTCTTAAAAAAAAAATAATGTAATGAGTAAATATTTTTCTTTAAATATATATGTGTATTTAATGAACAAGATATAAAGAGAAAAAGATATACTGCTATTTTAAAAATTTTAAATATATCGTAGTGATTTATAAAATAAGCATTATTCGACTAGCACAGATATATTACAATTAAAATATTTTTCATATATAAAATATAAATCTTTTCAATACTAATATTAAGATCAGATGTATGTATATTTACTTTTATTTTTAATAGAATGCCTTTCTGAATTTAAAATGACGTATTTAATATTTGCGCATCCAAATTATTTGAGAAATTCTACTATTTTTAAAAGTAATATGAATAATATGAATAATATGAATTATGAAAACAATAACAAAAATAGTTAAAATAGTTTTAATGACATACTGACAAGGACGATAGAATTTAATAAATTCATATTTTTAATGAAAGTGATGTAGCTATATAAGCGGGGTCACTTTTAAAAGCTGAATATATTTTTTTTGAAAAATTGACTTAAAAGCTTAAACATAGCATGTTTGTTAATTTTTTTTATAAAAATATTAAATAACGATGAAGTCAAAATGCATTTCTTCTTAATGCATATATGAGCTACTATTTTTGTAGTTTTTTAAATATGCAGTTAAAATATAATTGATTATATTAATATATATATTGAATAAATTTATTTAATAGCAATGTTAAATGCGATTACGGAAGAAACATTATTTTTTATTGTATATGTATATCTGAAATTTAGTTTTATTCAACTTTTTTATTTATATTGGCATTGATTAATAATTTTTTTTCAGTCCATATGGTAAAATGTTCTCTACTCCACTATATTAATTGGTATTACGCATATGTATATACTGACAATTCTTATGAATGTATATATTCATGTTATTTAATATTATGTAATATCTAAACAATTATTATGAAATTTAATGACTACAACATTGTAGTGTTATATAAATTAATTTTCTAATATGATGTAATACTAATGTTATATATTATATATGATTTTGTGTGGATTGCAATTTAAGTAAATAAATTTTTAAGTATTATTTGGAGCTTATAGTGATATTTCTTTTGGTAAAATTCAGATATCATGAAAAACAAATTAATAGGGGGTACCTTCAATCCGAAGGATGTTTTCTCTTTGCTTTCAAAATTAATTATAAAATATAAAATCTATATTTGAATTGTTATATTTAACAATTATTTAAAGTATTGACATTTATTATTATTATTTGCATTTCTTAATTTATTAAGTCTTTTAATTTGTAATTAATCTCATATTAATATTTATATAACCAGTAAATGAACTGAAGTAATTCGAAAATTTAGTTTATTCTTTAAACATGTGTCTACATATGTATATGCATATCATTAGATAGATATATGATTCGCTGCATAATATTTATTAGAGTCTGCTGTTGCAATTTTATTTTTCATTTTTCATTTTCCATTTTTCATTGAAATGTTTACTAAGCATACAATGCTTTCAAATCAATAAGCGGATTTTAATAGTTGATATTCAACTAAAGTTTAAGTTTGTAATTTATTGTTATATTCTTCACTTACTAATGTGTTATTTAGGTTTTGTAAAACCTTAACTTCAATCAACATAAGAATAAAATATAAAGTTAACTAAAAGCAGATCTCAGACAGATGTTAAATTACATTAATACTATTTTCAGTTTATTAACTAAACTTGTGTATTCGAAACATCATACTATTTTCACTTTATTTTCTATATAATAAAAGTAAATGGATGAGCTATGACACATTAAATTGAATATTTGCTCAGAAATCGATTTGATAGTTTAATATATTTTGTTCTACTAAAAAAATTATATTTGATATACCTTGAAAGTAAACTACACAAGAATGCGTATTGCATGATAAACACTTAAACTACAAATAGGACATGTACCCTCTCCTGCAGAACATATACGTTTAGCGCATTCCATACAAAACATGTTATGACCACATGGAACTAATGCAGCAGTAACCTTTTTCGTATTACATACCAAACATTCTCGAGAAGTTGTACCAAGGGATAATTGTGTTTCGGCTATATGTACTCTTTGAGATAAAGTATTTGTAATAATGCCACTGCCTTGACTACTAGAACAAATTTCACCTAACAGTGAGTCGGTGGGACTTATTGAAGTAGATGGTGAACAACGAGATTCGGTTAATGGAATAGTGGTTGTGGGTAGTGTCCAAATATTTGGCGAATCGCCAATTCCTTCATCTGTATCTAAAGAATCACTTAAATTTTTCCATATGTTTATCAATTCAGGTCGACTACTATTACTACTGCCACTGCTACCACTTCCGCATCCACTACTAGTTACAGTCGCGCTACCGCTATTGTTTACACTTTTTGATGAAATCGTTGAAGAGGCAGATGAACAAGATCGGGTCATGCCGTTGGTACCCAATATTGTATTTTCATCTACATTTATTTTTTCATAATTGTTAGTATTCAAATTTATAGGATTGATTGCATAATCTTGTTGTAGTTGCATCTGTTGATTAACTAATGTTTGTTGCACACATGCAGTATCCACTCCGGCAGTAGAAACATAATCATTATTATTTATATTTAGATTTTGTAGAAAAGTAAAGTTGTTGACCTGTGATGTAGAATCTATTAAATGGTTGGTGTTTATGCATATACCGTTACTGCCATCATTTACATTTTGAACCCCAAAATTAATATTGCGAACACTTTGATTTGTGGAGTACGTATCAACAGCTTCTTGTTTTAAATTTTCAACACTGTCAAATGTGGATCCAATACCATTTTTATATATAGCTGCCATAAAATCAGCATTTACATCTTCATTTAGAATTTGATTCAATGCACCGATCGCTTGAAGCGAGGTCGCATCATTTTCCATATTTAACACATTTGGTGAAGTAGGTGTTAAATTACCAGTTCTTAATGCAATATGTGCTTCAATTTGCTTACGTGCTGTTTGAACGTTGTCTGGAAGACCGGTCACTTCAAAAATCGGTTCTTTCTCTCGCGATGGAGTAACGATATATGTTTGAGTTACATGCTGTATGTGTTTAATAGTTGCTCCCTTTGGTCCAACTACAAGTCCTACAACACGATAAGGGACTCGGACCTGAATTGTTATTTGCCCAGGAATTGTTGGAGGCCCTGGAGGATTTTTGCCATTTACAATATTATTGTTGGACATATTATTATCAAGCACGGGTCTGCGAGTTGCCCGAATCAAGCTAAAATGCTCTGCTGCTGAAAGAATTTCTCTTTTAGCTTTTGCTACGTCTTCTTTTCGTCCTGTAACAACAAAAACTGGTTCCTCATTACGTACTGGTGTTTTGATGTAGGTGTTAGTTTTTGCTCTAAGTGCTTTTATTTTGCATCCTATTTTCAAGAAAAAAAAAAATATGTTAACAAATTTATACAGAATTTGAAACAGACAAATATTATATTTATAAATCAATATAAGTTACTTAATATTTATTCGGTTTGAACACAACTTTATTAAATTATTGTATATGATATCAAACAAAAACATAAAAAGTAACAAAAGCAGAAAAATAGTCATAGAATAGGTACTAGTTCTTGTTTTTGAATTTTTGTAACAGCTCCCAGCCACATTACTATACCCATTTCTAGGTGACAAGTAGTGAAATGCGATATCTGCAAATAAAAGTACCTACCATATATAAATATATAATTAATGTAAAATTCTTTGAAAATATTGAGCTTAGGTGTGTTCTTGTCTTTAACTTGAGCAGGGTAGCCAGATAGTGGTTTTCTTACTGAAGGTGAAAGCTTGTTTCAAGTTTTTTAGGGGAGAAAATGATTAAGAAGCTTAAAAAAATAAAAAATTCTATGCATAGGTATATTCTATGTATATAAAATTTTTTGTTAATAATAGCATATAGAGTAAATAAATTTATTATATATTAATGTAAAATATGTTATGGCGCACACAGATACTTGAAGTAATTACTACACTACAAAATAAACTAGCGTCTCGAATTGCACATTTAAGTGTAGAAGTGTACACTACAACGTATATTTTAAGTAAAAATATAGTGCTAATTTTAGAGTGTAGCTAATAAGAATATTCCTTAATTTTTATATTACAATATTTATTATTTTTATTTAATATATGTGCATAATTACTATAAAAACAAATTTTTATATGATATTTAAAATATTTTAATAGTAACAGCAGCCTAAGTTGCAATATCTGCAAACAGTCTTTAACAGCTTATAATGGAGCTTATAAGCTTATAATTGCATATAATACGGAAATAGTAAGAATTTAAAAGTCAAACTTTTTTAAAAAGATGACCTGATCATTTGCACCAACTATCGTGGGATATGCCTAATACCTGTCGAGTACAAGGTCCTTTCAACTGTACTGTGTGAAAGGTTGAAGGCATATGCCAACTATCTGATAGGCCTTTATCAGTGGGGCTTTCGACCTGGTCGCTCCACCATTCACGAGGTATTCACACTGCGCCAAATACTTGAAAACGTCTATAAAGTAACTTTCGATAGCTCCATAAGGGATTGTATTTACGTCGCAATGTCTAGGCTTAGTATCTCTGCAATATTAATATGACTATGAAAAATTGTGCTGAGCAAAATCCGTAGCTCCGTCAAGCTAGGATCGAGGCTCTCCAAACCTTTTGATATCATGCGAGGCCTCAGTATTTTTTGTAAAAAATTTTACTGATTGCAACATATACTCCAAATTTTTATATAAGTTGTTAGCTTCTTGTGTTTTGTGCACGATAGTACAGGTAAAAATAATATATGTAATTTACTTCTATTAAAAAATCCTACTTAATTTTTATATAGCTCAATTGGAAGAAAACACATTTTAATTTTTTAAAAAGTATATTTCAACATTTTGTGAGAGTTTATCAATTATTCTTCTTTAGTGAATTTGAAGATTTCGCAAGTTGATATTTTCGAACAATATGAAATGCATAAATTATATAATTTCTTTCATAGCGTGCATAGCTCATAAATCTGTATATTCATGAGAAAGAATGAAGAAAAGTACATTCAGACTACGTAAATGTAGTCAACTATGGACAGTATACAATTTTGGATAAAAGGATTCAATAGAGATCTATTGAATCAGCCACAGACTACACGATACAAATAATGGACTTTGAAAATAAAATTTTCGCTCATTACTCTAACAGAAAAACAGCGGAGTGGAACAGGAGCGGATATATACTCGAAGATTTAAAGATACGGAAGTCATACTGACTTCTTGACACGCAGTTTCCTTCAGCGCAAGATATACGCAATCGAAAAAACAGTCGGGGTAATGCAAACTAGTACAACTCATTCTTAGAATTACAACTATCTTTGTAGACAGTAAAATTAAGCATTGTGAAACAATATTGTGCCTCACCATATAAGATAACTGATAAATCGCTAGGACTGCGAGATTCTTGAAACCATATGTCCTCGACTTGACAGAAATAAACCAAAAAGTCTTTTTAGGCTTAAATAGTTATGCAATTACCCAATTTGCAGTTTGTGTACTTAATGGAGTACTAACAAAGGACTGCAAGATTGCATCGATACTTCCCGTATTTTGGTTGGAGTCTATTTTTGGAGTCTATTAATGCTTGGAGTCTATTTTTTCATTGGCTTTGCAGAGCTAACAGTGGTAAACTTGTCGGATAGATGTCAAATCTAATAAATCAAAATCTTAAAAAAAAAGAATAGCTCCCCACAGGGAGAACTATCTAAATTGTAAATTATGAAGTATAAAATCTTCTATTTATCTAAAAGTTGTTAAATGTCACATTATTTGTCACTTTTGACAAACGGTTCAATTGGGTTAAACATTTGAAATACAAACGGAATAGCTGCTCTAAGATTCTACATTTATTAAAGCCGCTATTTAATAATTATCACTTCAACTTTAAAAACAGAAAGTTACTTTATACGCAAGTAATTAAACCTGCACTACTGTACGGATGTGTTACATATTGCAAAGCCTCAAATACTACCTTAAAGCAATTACAGATAGCTCAAAACCTGGCTTTAAGAAAACTGTTTAAGATTCCATGGTATATTAGATCAACAGACATACATAGAGATCTTAGGATTGACTCAGTGAAAAAATATATCAGAGACAGAGCTCTAAAATTATTCACTAAAGTTGATACGCTAATTAACCCCGCCCTAACAATCCTCAAGTCCACTTCTGGACTCTCAGGAAGATATGCTGATTTAAGGTCCGTCATCAACTAAAAGACAAATAAATGATATGATTTTTTTTTTTAGCCTAGTTAAAGCCTAGTGTGGGGTAGAGATAAGCCCCCCAGCCATTATAGAGTAAAAGTGCGTAATAGCACTAACTTAAGAAGAAGAAGAAGACATAAAATTAAATAAAAAAAAACAAAAAATAATTCTAATAAAGTATTGAAATCGATTCAAATAAATGAAGTGTGATATTTTATTGAAATTATATCTAAATTTTATATAGATGTCATAAAAAATTCATTGATGTGCTGATATTAATTAGGAGTCTCGAATATACTCTTTTTATTATTAACTGTTATATTTCTATTAAAGGACTTCTTATAGTTTTTTTGTTTCGTCCACGCTTCCACAGAGCTGTACCAAGTAAAACTTAGTTAAGAAAAACACGCTTTTTTCGGTTTTTATTAATTTAATTTAATAATTAATTTCAAAAATCAACTATAAAAAAAAAATCCAAGGAAGAAAATTATTGTAGTTGGTCGATACACACGCGTAGTTTACTGTGAGTGCTAAAACTAATGACTGTGATAGAAGAAATTTTAAACACTACAGCTTCTGCAGAAATTAAAGCGAAAAAAAGTTGGCAGATAAAAACGCATTGGCGATCATGACGTTGTGTATGAACCTATCTAAGCTAAGTCACATTAGGAACTGTACAAATACTATTACAGCATGAAATTGTACAAATGCAATTTTAACATCCCAGTAGAAAAAATGGTCTTCGAAGACATTGTATACAAGACGGTCTTTGATACCGCGTCCGCATGTTCAAGCAAATTTGCAAAACAATTGCTTAAAACATGAATGTAAATACTCTTTCTTTGCTTTTTCTCTCATTTTTAGTGTTCATAGCAACGTATTTGAATTTTGCCTCAGATGACGCTATGTTTTATAAATGAAGTGACGCAATAATTTTGAAGTGTAGTAAATAAACATTTGTGAAATAAATATTAAAAAAATCAAAATGAATAAAGAAACAAAATCATTAAACTATGAAATATTAAAAAAAAGAAATTAAATCAAAACAAATGAAATATTGACTTAGTTCCTGGAAAATATATTGATATTAATATTAAAGACAATAATTCCAGTGAAAGTTGTTTAAGAAACAAAACAAAGGATGTTGAAAATAAAAAAACTAAAAACACTTGTGAAAAATTAGCTGTTATATTAAAAAAACACAGGATTAACAGGCGTTGTGGTAATGATATTTTAGAACTCTTAAGATCAGAAGGTTTAATTGTACCAAAATCCTCTTCAACGCTTTTGAAAA